GGAAGCCCTAGCAGGAGAAATGTGGAGCCAAGTTTCTGGGGATCCAGTCCAGCATGTAGCTCTAGTCTGCTTTTTACCTCTTCTCTCCTGTCTTTAGGGAAATGTCTTTTATCAGACATTAGAAGGGGTTGCCCAGGGCAGTGGTGGAGTCCCCATCCCTGGAGGGATTGAAGAGTCGTGTAGACATAGTGCTGAGGGACATGGGTTAGTCGGGGACTGGTCAGTGTTGGGTTCGTGGTTGGACTTGATGAGCTTAAAGGGCTTTTCCAATCAAGGCAATTCTGGATTCTGTGAAAGGGGACTCGGGCAGGGTGGAAGGGGTGTGGGACACTGGGGATGCTCCTGATAAATTCCCTACCATTTCCTGTTAATTTCATATCACTTTTGCTGTTGGTTTCTGTTGATGCTTTAGGTGAGGTCTGTCACAAATCCTACACGCAGTTCTCCAACCTCTGTCGTCACAAGCGGAATCAAGGCAATTCTGGATTCTGTGAAAGGGGACTCGGGCAGGGTGGAAGGGGTGTGGGACACTGGGGATGCTCCTGATAAATTCCCTACCATTTCCTGTTAATTTCATATCACTTTTGCTGTTGGTTTCTGTTGATGCTTTAGGTGAGGTCTGTCACAAATCCTACACGCAGTTCTCCAACCTCTGTCGTCACAAGCGGATGCACGCAGACTGTCGCACCCAGATCAAGTGCAAGGACTGCGGCCAGATGTTCAGCACTACCTCCTCCCTCAACAAACACCGCCGCTTCTGCGAGGGCAAGAACCATTACACCCCAGGGGGCATTTTTGCCCCTGGCCTTCCCCTGACGCCCACTTCCATGATGGACAAATCCAAGCCCTCTCCCAACCTCAATCATGCCAGCCTGGGATTTAATGATTATTTTCCATCCCGCCCGCACCCGGGGGGTCTCCCATTCTCACCTGCCCCCCCTGCGTTTCCTGCCCTCACTCCGGGATTCCCAGGGATTTTCCCACCGTCTCTCTACCCCAGGCCCCCCTTGTTACCACCCACACAACTGCTCAAAAGTCCCCTCAACCACACTCAAGACGCAAAGCTTCCCAGCCCCCTTGGGAACCCAGCACTTCCTCTGATCTCTGCAGTGAGCAACAGCAACCAAGCCACTTCAGGAGAGGAGAAATGTGAAAGCAGCCTGGAAAACTCCTACCTGGAGAAGCTAAAAGCCAGGAACAGTGACATGTCCGATGGCAGTGACTTTGAGGATGTCAATACAACCACAGGCACAGATCTGGACACCACTACTGGCACCGGCTCTGACCTGGACAGTGATGCAGAGAGTGACAGGGACAAAACAAAAGAAAAGAGCAAACAGATTGAGAGCAAGCCAGATTTTGTCAGCAGCTCTGTGTCTGCAAGTTCTACCAACAACACGAGTGAGATCCCTCTCTTCTATTCTCAGCATTCCTTCTTTCCTCCCCCCGAAGAGCACCTGCTCCCTACCACGGGAGCAGCTAATGACTCGATTAAAGCTATCGCCTCCATCGCAGAGAAGTATTTTGGGCCTGGCTTTATGGGGATGCAGGAGAAAAAGATGGGTTCACTCCCGTATCATTCCATGTTCCCTTTCCAGTTCCTCCCCAATTTCCCCCATTCACTCTATCCTTTTACAGAGCGGACCCTCAATCACAACTTGCTGGTCAAGGCAGAACCAAAGTCACCCAGGGACCTCCACAAAGTAGGCAGCACCAGCTCAGAGTCACCCTTCGATCTCACCACAAAGCCAAAAGAGATTAAGCCAATCTTGCCGCCGCCTAAAGTCCTGCCCGCCCCATCCTCAGGGGAAGAACAGCCACTGGATCTGAGCATCGGCAACCGCATCCGAGCCAGTCAGAACGGGGGAAGAGAGCCACGGAAAAACCACATCTACGGGGAAAGGAAGCTAATGGCAAGTGAAGTCTTACCCAAGATTTCCCAGTCTCAGCTGCCTCAGCAGCCGTCCCTGCACTACGCTAAGCCATCGCCCTTTTTCATGGACCCCATATACAGGTATTAACATACCCTGCCTTAAGCGTTTCCTCTAACGAGCTCGTTTTCTAGCTGACATCACAACTCGGGGCAGATCGGGGTGTAGGTTGTTTAGAAAGAGCAGTGAGTCTGCTGCAGTTGATTGTGCTTCTCTCTCCTTTGTCACAGCACGTTGAATTTTCTCAATCAAAAGGGCTGAATAATTGAAAGGAGTACTCGTAATCAATGTGTCTAAAGAACACATCCTTATTTTGATAAAGAAGAAACTTGACCTATTTAAGGACTCTCCCACGAGCCAACGCTAAGATGGCACTTCTGCTGGGGAAATTCCAGAGGTTTGATTCGATAAGAATGCAGAGTTCAGATGCCTCGGAGCCCGGGCTCTCATGGCTTGGGAATGAGTCAGGAGCCCTGGGAGCCTGGAAATGCAGCTCTCCCACTGACTTACATGATGGCCCTTTGTGAGCCACTTCACCTTTCTACCTCCCCACCCCCCTTTTCTTTCTAATTCCTTTCCTTAAAGTTTTTCAGTTCATAGGAACTGCTGTTGTGGACCCAGCCTTTTGAAACATTTGTAAGTCTGGAGTAACAAGTACTGTGTAAATACATGGTAGCGTGGTGTTACCCGGATCTCTCCCAGCTACATTTCTTGCAGACTTACCTTTTTTGAGAAGATAACAAGGGTTTTCTAGTTTCTCTTGAAATGGGTGTTTATTGAGGAGGCCCAATGCGTTATGTCGTGCCTAGAATAAGCTGAACATGGAAGGCATGTGTAGAGCAGACTGGATGAAGTTACTCAAATGCCAGTTAAACTTCCAGAAGGAATGAATTCAGAAGATGCAAAAGGAAGACTTGAGTCTTTTGTTGGTTTAGAGCTTTTTATAAAACCTCTTTCTAAAGGAGAACTGTTTAAAGGTTTATGGTGAGGGCACCAGTAAGTTTGCAGTACCCCCACTGCAGTCTGGGGCAGTGGCACTGCCCCTGTTGTCTTCATGCCACAGATGAGAGGTATTTATCACGTAGCAAACACTGTTGCTTGGTTTTAGCAAAGTCCAGTGAAAAGAGATTATCCCAAACTAGTTTGATTTAGACATTATCATGGCAATTAATTCTCCCTTAGGACAAGATGCTTCACAGCATCCATTTTGGTGCATGGGTTTGGCTCCTGGATGAAGGGTCTGATTGAGCAGCCAGTGTGGGAGTGAGTGGTTTGTTCTTGCGTTATTGAGCTACACGTGGGCAGTGTGCAGTGGGTGAGCCTCGCTGGGATCCAGCCTGCTGGAAGGTTCATGGATGTGCTGCAGAAGCTGGTGTTTCCTCAGCGCTGGGAAGACTCACAGTCACCGCAGAGCGATTATGTCGGCACCGGGGTGGTTGGCGTGAGTGTTCAAAGGGCTGCGAGCAACGACGGGCGGCGTGGCCTTGCCTCCCGCCTGGAAAAGCAGACCAGGAGAACAGCACCTATGTCACTGCCTTGCTGCTATTGTACGGCTGATAACTGTGGGAAAAAATGATGTCAATGTCTAGGCAGGCCAAAGAACTGTCAGCTGAGATGAGGATTAGTGAGCCCTGGGTGCTTGCTGTTAAGAAAGCGTCTCTCGCTTCGCCAGCACGCTCGGGGTTGACGCTGCGTTGCTTGCTTACATGCTCACCATCTGTGATGGAAACGGCTACATCACAACCTGGGACGTGTCGTGTTCTGTCTGGGACCCACCGTGGTCATCTCTTCCTGGAAAAACAAGGAATGATGTAAATAGTCCGGCATTTACTTCTGGAAAAAAATAAATAGATGGGATAGAAAGGGAAAATCTTTGAGTTAGCTTAGGATCCTGCCACCTCTGGGCATTCTCAGTAGGAATGTTAAAATAACATGGGTTGAAAAAGCCATTGCCAATTAAAATAGCAGGCTCGGGAAAACCGGAAAGGTCGAGCAGACAGATGGAAGTGAAGGATGAGGGCATCATTTGTTGCATTCCATGGGATGCATATAGTTTTAGTAATATATTAAAACAGAAAGTCAGTGGTGGAGCTGCTTACAAGTCAGACTTCTGATGTAATGAGCCAAACAGCAGAGCTTCCAAGTCCCAGCTTAAAAAACATGGAAATATTTTGTTTCTAAACTTCTCTTTATCAGTCTCTATCACATCATTTGCCTCCTTCATTTTTCTCCCAAAGGCCACTTAAATCCTTGACATTTTCTCCTGGTGATATAATTTAATGCAGCCAGACAGGCTGAAATCAGCGCAGTTTTTAGCTCAGCCTTGTGAAGGTGACGTTCTCAGGCACTGGGCTGAGATCAGCTTAATCCTCTGGTCGCTGCGGAGTTCAGCTCTGACGAGGAAGTTTGGACGTTTGCTGTGTCCTGGTTCCCCAGCACTGGGAGGTGGTGGAGCTGGGTGTAAAGCTTTGGGCTGTGAGGCAGGTGGGACTGTCTCTCCAGGGCAGTCAGTCCCCTGGGCATGGCAGCGGTTCCAGCGCGTCACGGAGGGTGAAGCTTTGCTGGTCGGGGTGGTAATCGCTGCCATTTACTCTTTTACCTTGTGTCAGGGAGAAACTTTTTACGTATTGTTTTACAGATTGTTGTTTTTCTGAAAACTCCCTAAAATTACGTACCTTCCAAAGCACAGTGGTTCTGACTGCATTTCAAATCCAGCTCTTCTCTTTTCTTCTACCTCAGAAAAATTAAATGCAGATTAAATACAGTTCACTAAATAGCACTCTGCATGACTCTTCTTTTAAACTCTTTGGTAATTTGATCCACACACCAATCAGCTGAAATGCAGCAAAATAATTTGCTCTCATTTATGCTGGACTAATGTAGTTAAAATTACTCTTACTATTGGATTTCTGCTGGTTTAGCTGAGGTGGACTCTGTTCCAATAATTTAAAGATGCAGCTGTGTTTATTGGAGTTACTTTCATAACACTTTTTTTCCCATAGAGGACATTTCAGTTTCTCTTTTTTGGTGATTCCACACCACGGGTTCCCTGCAAGTAGAATATTTTGTGAAAACCAGTGTGTTCAAAAACAGGAGCCTAACTTTAGGATCACTTCTGCATAGTAAGATGCTTAAGTGTGGAGTATTTGAATGGAGCAAAGTGACATCAGAAGATGTTCCTAAGTCACTTCAAAAATCTCCCACCAGTTCCTGACTTTTAAAATTGTTGTCCACATAAGCTTGCCAAAGAAACTCAATGCAAATTATATCTCAGCTGCGAGGGAGAAAATAAATATGAAACACCTAATGATTCTAGCACACTTGGGACTGCAAAGTCTGGCTCAGTGTTAACTCTTAAGATAAAGACAAACTCTCAAAGACAGGTTTTTTCCATCCAGTGACTGGATGGACTCTAGAGCCGTGGACTCTAGAGCTTCTCCCGCTCAAACAGTGCTTTTGCTGTAAGTGTAATTTTTTTCATGACATTTCACAACAGCAGAGGCTTATAAACTGCAATAGCTGAGGCATTAGTTCTCACACAGAAAGATCAAAATGTTTTCTTAATTGTCAGTCTGATGGCTAAAACAGTATTGCCCAAAGGGGGGGTGTGTTTTCATATCATTTCCAGTGTCTTTTGTGGGGTAATGTGGGTCATAGTTTGTAGTATCCAGTGGAAGGGGAAGAAAGACTTTTGTGTCAGTAGAATAACCTCCTATATATAATTTAAACACCTCTGCAAATGGTTTGGCTGTGTCTTTGCTGCCTGTAGCCCTGTAAGGTATGTAACCCTCTGTGTTGTTGTCCAGCAGGGTGGAGAAGCGGAAGGTGACAGACCCTGTGGGTGCCCTAAAGGAGAAGTACCTGCGACCCTCCCCGCTGCTTTTTCACCCCCAGGTAAAGGCAG